GTTCTGCGGCGGGACAGAGCCACCGTGACAGGGGGCGGAGGTGTGCTGCTTGCAGTACGCCAACCGTATAGTGTCCAACGCATTGTCTGTAGCTGCGCACCGGAAGACGAAATTATTGTTGGATTAGTGCACAAAGGAAGCTGGCGCGTTATTTGCTGTGTAGTTTATTTACCATGTAAAATACCAGACAATGTAGTTATTGATGATTTTAATTTATATTCAGCTTCACAGAATGTAAGGGACGCGTATGATTTATTCATTTCATCATGCGATTTATTGCATCATAATATTGTGGTCAACGGTCTTGGTCGTATTCTTGATTTAGTGCTCTCAAAATCAGAATAACTTATTCTCAACGTCACTGAGTCGGAGATGGGCCTGGTTGCACACGAGGTCGATCATGTGCCACTAGATACAATATTAACAACAAAACAACATTATAACAAATTCCCATGTGTGGGAACGGGCAAACACATAAAATATAACGACGGAAACACGCTTCATTTTGAGACACCTTTTAGAAATTTTAAAAAAGCAAACTTTTTAGATCTATACACAAAACTATTTAGTATCGACTGGTCCCAAGTATATCTATCATCTGATCCGAACGAAGCCGTCAAACATTTCTACAATTTAATTAATAATACACTTGACTCTACCGTTCCATATAAGATCAACTCATATCATAAAATTGCCCATTATATATTATTATATATAATGCTGATTGGTATAGCTCGGAGCTAATTAATTTATTGAAATTGAAAAATAACTATCATAATCTATTCAAAAGTACTAAGTATGAACTATATTATGGGTTTTTCTATTTTTATCGCAAACGATGCAAGTCGCTGACGGCTGAATGTTACTGTGCTCATATAAATAAAATAGAAAACAATATCAAGTTTAACCCAAAAGCATTTTGGTCGCATGTTAAATCGATTAGACAATCAAACGATCCGTCTGTGTTCGGGAGATCCAATTCACAGGAAGTCGCAGACGATTTCGCTACATTTTTCAGAAACGTCTATCTGACTTCGGCTCCCACATTGAATCCCAGTGATGCTTTTGCTGCTGTAGCTGCGACAATTCGCTCATCATACCAGCTGTTGTCCGATCGACATATTATTGTAGACCACGTAACGGAATTTGATATTTATAGCGCTATGAAACAACTCAAGCCTAAACTGACCCAAGGCCCGGACGGTATTCCACAGGTGATAGTAAAGGATTGCAGAGAAGCATTCACTAACCCCCTATACCATATCATTAATTTGTCCCTAAAATGCAATACATATCCCAATGTTTGGAAAACGTCAAAAGTCCTACCAATACATAAATCGGGTCACAAATCTGAAATAAGGAATTATCGCGCCGTGGCTGTTTTATCCGTTTTTGCAAAAGTTATGGAAACCGTTTTGCACAAGTCTATTTATGAACAACTTAAGGGGTGGTTCTGTGATCAACAGCACGGATTTCTTACAGGTCGCTCTGTTGCTTCCAATCTTATGAATATTACCACGACCATCTCTGACGAGCTAGACGCCAGAAAGCAAGTTGACGTAGTATACTTGGACTTCCAGAAAGCATTTGATCAAATTGATTGTGATGTTCAACTAAGGAAATTAATACTTACAGGTTTCTCAAAAAACCTAACCGCATTTTTCGCGGACTACTTGGCAAACCACCACCAATATGTATATTACAATAGATGTTTATCTCTACCTTATCAAATAACTCTGGTGTAGGCCAAGGTAGTTGCCTTGGACCACTCCTGTTTTTAATTATAATAAATGATTTGCCACTAACTATCCGACACAGCGAGTGTCTCATGTTCGCAGATGACGTTAAATTGGCCAGGACGATTAAGTCTGATGCAGATTGTGTGTTCTTGCAAAGGGACATTGATAACGTGAACAGGTGGGGAAGGGATAATAGTTTACAGTTGAATGTTGAGAAATGTACAGTTGTGTCTTTTTCTCGTGCTCGCAAACAGGTAACTTGTAATTATAAAATAAATGATACTCGGATTCGTCGATCTAAATCAGTCAAAGATTTAGGCACATGGTTCGACACTGAGCTTACTTTCCGAGAACATATCACAAAAATTTGTAAATCTTCCCGCAAGTGTCTCGGTTTCGTCTTAAGACAATCAAAGTCGTTAAAAACCAACCGCACGTCGTGTCTTTTGTATAACTCTTTTGTTCGAAGCAAATTGGAATGTAACGCTATCATTTGGAACCCCGTCCATCACAACCACACACAAACATTAGAGAAAATTCAGAAGACATTTGCTCGAAACTTATACAAGAAGATGTACGGATATTACCCCTTACTTTATCCCACAGCATTTATTTTAGGCATGGTAAATTATAGAATGCTAGAAGTGAGACGCAATCTGGCTCTTGTAACGTATGTGTTTCGTCTGGTACGGGGAATAATACACAACCCATTTTTGTTGTCCAAGGTAGGCTTTATGGTACCTAGAACTAATCTGGTGCGACTTCATAGAATGAGGTTATTTGCAGTACCTACCACACGATGTAGAGTGAGTGAGATGGCCCCCCTGCCCCGTGCACTTAGGTATCTAAATCAGTTGTTTAACTTCGACTCCTCATTGGACCTCTTTGCATGCTCAGAAACAAAATTCATATTTTCCGCAGGACGCTATCTGGAGTCCTTGACCGGAGACAGTAGTATTAAATGTTAGCTTAAAATGTAATTACAAATGGTTTTTATCTTTTTTTTTGTCTTTAATGTTAATCTGTAATAATTTATTGTTTATGGTATTGTATTAATAATTTTATCAATTTTCATATTTTATTCACTTTTGTAATTGACTTAAGATTAATTGTACATTTAGCTTTAAGTCTTACTATTGCGTTTGGGTTGACTGTAAGCAATATGTAATAAATAAATAAATAAATAAATAAATAGAGACACCGTGAATCGTGTCTCCGTTGCAGAGTTAATAAAGTCTATGTAGGCAGCAATACGATTCCATGTTCACCAACAAATAAGTGTTTCAAATCTCGTCTCGCCCATCCTCATCAATCCCGATCATTTCCACCGAAGATGCGCTAGGAGAGAATTGATATTTTTGCCCTACAAATTTTAAAAATCGTCTCGTCTTGTCTCGTTTCGCCTCGCCGGTGGAAATACACCATTATAGACGCAGAACATCTCCATAATTACATAAGGACTAGGAGAATAACTGGATCTACTAAAAATAAAAATTTTAAAAAGATACAACCATAATTATTGTAGTTCTCTTTTCGGGCCCTGTTTGAGCAGTAGCACGGAGCAATCTATTCAGCGAGTGCGAAATGCTTGCATCAGATTTAACTTTTATACACAACAAAAAGAGGGCAGGTACATAACACCCTACTTGAATAAAAAACGGATTTTAAATATGATTGATAGAAGAGAGCTGCAATAGGCTTGTTGCATTCAAAAGGTGGTAAGGAGTACAAACCCGGAATACCTTTTGGGAAAGCTCACGTGGATAATACATATTAAAGGTTATACAAGGCTGCAAAGTTGTTTGACGCGATGCCGTTATTGAAATTTGAGCAAGCGAAGGATTCCAAGATTGAACCACGAATAAAGCGAGTGGTTCAAAAATAGAATCCTGGGCGGAGCGAGGGTACGCAAAACATCTTTGCTTCCGAGCGAACATGCAACTTTTCACCTCACTATAGCGAGGAAAGGAAGGAGGGTGACAATGTTATAGAAAAAGTAAATGTAACACAGTTTTTAGGTATAACTGTAGATAGGGACATGTCGTTTATAACTCACTCGCAACAGGTCTGTGCAAAACTATACACGCTTAGCTATGCATTCTACAAATTGTCAAAAACTGCGGACCGCCGAACTGTGGTAATGGCTTACCACAGCTTTGTTGGATCTATCCTTAAGCGTGGTGTGATTTTCTGGGGTAACTCTACCTACAGAGAAACTATATTTAGAGCCCAAAAGCGATGTGTCAGAGCCATATGCAACATTAAATACACTGACAGTTGCCGATCATTTTTCCGTGACCTAAAATTATTAACCTTCCCATGTCTGTACATCTTAGAGGCATCTATTTTTGTTAAGACGAACTTGAGTGAATTCCCAGAAAAAGTAAGTTCACAAGCGCACTTATTTCGCACCAGGAAATATATGGTCCGAAGAAATATATGTAAAACGGCCCTATACAAAAATAGCGTTGTTGACATGGCACCCAAAATATTTAATAAAATTCCAGACGCAATAAAAAATCTTAGTGAAATGCAATTCAAGCATGTATTAAAACAATTATTAATTGACAAGTGTTACTATAGCATAGAACAATATTTTAATGACAGTTTCTTAGAATAGGTAAATGCTGACAGTTGGGTACCATTTAGTTATTAATATTTTTAGACTTTTTAATTATTATTAGTTTTTTGACATTGTATCCATTTTTCTTTTATTTTCATTTTGACATTACATTTTTATTTAATTGACTTCGTATGCCACTTTGGCTTATTGCAGAGATTCCATAAAATTATTATTACCATCTATATCATGTACCTGTAATAACGAATGAATAAGTGAATTGAATTGAATTGAATTGAATTGAATTGAAAATGGTAGATGACAGAAAAACCGTTGAACTATAACAAATCATAGTAAATGAAACTATTTTTCCGGATTTAAATCGCGTATATTTGTTTTTTCAAACAAACCGAGACGTTTCGGGCCCTTTACAGGTCCCATGGTCACGGTTGACTGACGTGGTACAGTCTTCAACCAGTTATGTCTCATATTGATGAAAACCACCCTATTTTTCACTATAGTTACAATAGTTATTAATGAAATACCTTATTACCAATTTTACAAAGAAAATATTCCAATATATATACATGGCTTGGGAGACCCCAAAACCGACTTTCATTCCTCTAAATCCCACGCCTCCAGCACTTTGTCCACGACCGCTGAGTCCCGTATTCTGATGGCCATCTTTAAGTTGTAGTCCTTTATGGTTTGGGTAGAGAGACTGCTTCCGCGCGTTCTATCAGGTCGACAATTGCGTCTTCTTCTCTTCTATCCGTGTAGTAGACGCAGCTGCCACTGTGTCGCGAAATTGCTACCACCGCGTGAGGAACACTGCTGTACAGTCAATGCTTAGATGTTTGAGTTCGGACTATCACCACTGTCTCGAAAGTTAAACCTTGAGCCTCGTGTATGGTGAGGGTACGCGAGCCATTCCCGTTTCAATATCCCTGGCCGATAAGGTGTTCTTAAAGGTGCCTACAGATACGATCGACATTGTCGATCGTCGCTGTCGATCGTCATTGTCGATCGACAGTGTCGATTAGGAGCCTACAGATATGATCGACATTGTCGATCATTATAGACGATCATTATAGACGAGAATAGGGAATCGGACAATTTTTCAGAAAGTGTCTAGAATTAACTAAAATAGATATGTACAGCGTGTACAGCCATGAAAAATAATACACACATCAAAAGTGTCCAGGGATCAAGTACGTTTAAGAGTATTGCTGCAATTAGGGTTAATTATATTAACTTTTTTGTATCGCTATTGATACTTTTTAGTGAGTTTTAACATTTAAATAAGGAATATTGTTTAAAATTCGATAATAAGAAGTAAATCAATTGTCAATGTGGTTTTGTATAAAAATGAGTTATAGCGTTTTGACAAAATCATTACAATATCTGCATCGGAACCGAAACAATTTACATTATTATGGAGAGACGACATCATTTAACCCGAGAAGTGATGATGCGAGCCGTCGGAATGTTGGAAGCTGGTTCCAGGCAACGTGCTGTGGCTTTCACTCTTAACACTACACAGAGCGTCATAAGTCGCCTCTGGACGCGCTATCCCAGGACGGGCAGCGTGGCCGAGCGACATGGAGGACGATCTCGCATCACGACTCGCAGACAGGACCGGTATATCCAAAATACTGCTCGACGGAATCGTACCATGACCGCCATGATGTTGGTTACGAGGCTCCACAGCTCCTCAGGCTTGCTAATAAGCGATCAAACAATCCGAAATCGTTTACGTGAAGTGGGTCTGCGATCCCGAAGGCCGCTCAGAGTTCCACCTATTGCACCCTGCAATCGCAGGACCCGTTTACGATGGGCTCGCGAACACAGAAACTGGGAGGAAGAAGACTGGCGCTATGTGTGCTTTTCGGATGAATCCCGCTTCGGTATGAGACCGGATACAAGACGTACTCGAGTTTGGAGAACATCTGGACGTCATGAACGTTTGAGATATTGTCAGGAAGTTCATCCATATGGTGGGGGAACAATAATGATATGGGCCGGTATTTGGATCGGCGGAAGAACCGATCTCATTTGGATCAGGGGTAACCTCAATGCTCAAGTTTACGCAGAGAGGATTGTTTCAGATGTTATCATCCCTTTGCGAGGCCAGTTGGGTGATTCATTTCAACTAATGCATGACAACGCACGTTCACACACGACTAGAGTCGTACCACGCATTCTTGCCGAAGCTCGTATCAACGTTCTGCCGTGGCCTGCTCAATCGCCAGACCTCAATCCAATTGAGCACGCATGGGATATGCTTCAAAGAAGAGCTGTGCCGAGTATGCATACCGTACATACTCTACAACAATATTTTGACTTGTTACAAAACACATGGGCGGCCATTCCTCAAAGTGATTTTGATGAACTCATCTTAAGCATGCCAAATCGCTGTAATTGTGTGATTCGTGTTAATGGTGGAAATACAGATTATTAATTTTCTTATCTTTACAATAAAAATGAGCAAAATCATCATTTTCGCCATTTTTTTGTCATTTAATTGACGCCGTTAATTTGAGTTTTTTCCCACAATTTGCAAAAACATCAATTTTAGTTTATTTTAATTAAATATAGGGGTAAGCGGTTAAATAAAACATAAGCATTAAAGTAAGAAGTCGTCCTGGAAGACTGGATTTGGTAAATATTGCTTAAATAATTTTTATTTCAAAAATATTCACTTGATCCCTAGACACTTTTGATGTGTGTATTTTATTAAAATAAAGCTTAATAGTCTCTAAAATGTGCTAAAACTACGTTAAAATTTAAATAGAAACAAATTGGCGCGCAAACGTAACAAAATGTCAAATTGAACGCGTGGCGTCATTTGTAGGTAAACAAGCTACGAAGTCAAGGGCAAGGTGTTATTTTAAAGTTTTGTGAAGTTTGAAGTCGTTATGGAACGGAAAACATATCGTTGGTGTGTAGTACCTCAATGTGGGAATACTTCTATAACTACCCCAAATAAACTATTTATTGATGTACCTCGAAAATCCGACATACGAAAAAAATGGTTGGTCCTAGCACGACGAAATGTCTGTAAATTCAGCGACATACTTTTGTGAGGATCACTTCGACGTAAGTACACTTTATGCAGTGAGTGATACATAGATCGAAGCATGTGTTAATAATTATATAGTAAATGTTGTGTTATATTCACTAGTGCCTTTAATTATGTAATGTAATAATTATGTATTCGAATTTTAGCTGCCGAATGATATGGAAAGTTACCTGCGATGGAAGGACTGTACATTACCATCGCACGATTTGAGGGGTCTGCAATGTATAAGCTCTGAGATAACACCAGTCATTGCTCATTTAATTAATTGTTGTTTGGCCACGTCCTCATACCCAGACAACTTAAAGACCGGCATCATCAGACCTATTCATAAGAAAGGTCCTTATAATGATGTTAACAATTACAGACCGATTACAATACTCTCTAGCATTGACAAAATAGTAGAAAGGTACTTAGGAAATAAAATTAATACATTCCTATATAACAATGGCATAATCAATGATAAACAGTATGGCTTCCAAAAAGGCCGCAGTACTGCTCAACTTCTGTCTAAGTTTACAGATGAGGTCAACGGATACCTGAATGCTCGCGAGCAGGTGCTCGTTGTCTTCATCGATTTTAGCAAAGCTTTTGATACCTTACGATACAGTACGCTGTTTGACAAGCTAGAACAGAACGGTATACAGGGACCTCTGTTGGATTGGTTCCGGAACTATCATGAAAACAGACAGACGCTTGTACGTCTAGGAAACAGCCAAAGTGACAAAATACCTACTGCTCTAGGCACGGCTCAAGGATCGATTCTTCGTCCGACTGAGTACTTGCTGTATGTGAATGACATGTGCCAACTGTTTACGGAAGGTTCCGTATTTCAGTTCGCTGATGACACGTGCTTGATATACCACAGCAGAAATGTGAGTGACGCTCAAAATACAATGCAACATAATTACAATAACCTTTGTAAATGGGCTCATGATATGGGATTGGTAATAAATTCCAACAAAACCAAACTAGTTCACATACACTCGCCATACATAAAAACAACTCATCTGCCAGTAATCGTTGCGCACGATCATCAGTGCTTACATCAACAGTCTTCTGTCACCGGCAACAGCGCTATACGTTCATGTGCATGTATGGCGTTACAAGTGGTTGAGCAGCATGTATATTTGGGTCTTGTTATTGACAAACATTTTAATTGGGGACCGCATATTGAAAGTGTGACTAACAAGCTAAGGTCAATTAATGCTAAATTTTCAATTTTAAAGTATAAGTTACCATATCATACTCTTAGAATGTTGTACCTTGCTTTGGCGGATTCAATAATTGCTTATGGATTAGGTAGCTATGGACGTACTTACAAAACATACATAGATAAAATATACAAATTGTAGGTTAGTATACTGAAATCGATAGTGTCAAATAAAGTTAAAAATAAATATAATGATGACAACCTCGGTCTTTTCAAACATTGCAAGGTGATGTCGGTTTTTGAGAAGTCCAATATGATTATTTTATTGGACAACTTTGACAAGATTGGCCAAATCATGAAAACGAGCAGAGATGGTCGGTTACGCAATATCACTTACCTGCTCACATATCAACTGCCTAGAACCACTAATACGTACGGTATGAGGGCGGCTAACTACATGTTGCCTGACATACTAAAATAAATTACCAGCAGAGCTTCATGAGGATATTTTTTCAAGTGTAAAAAAATGTAAACAAGCTGTAAAACGTTATTATTTCGGTGGATTTAAAGGGCAGAATTCATAACTTTATTTAATTATATTATATTATATTATTTTTTAAGTTTAAATTATAATATTTTTGTCTTAGTATTTAGTTATTGCGACTCAATTCCTTTCGCATAAACCCATTAAAGGGTTTTTGAAAGGAAAATCCAAATGTACATATGTGTTTAATTGTAAATTGAATAATAAATAAAAAAAAAACATTGTCGACCCGTCCGCGGAAGGATTAGGAATAAGGATGGATGACATTAATTAAAAGATGTATGGTTGTATGTATGTATGGTTGGTAGTTCCGGTTTCATATTTTGTCTTGTTTTTTGTTTTTTTTTTCCATTTATTTAATAACTTTTTTCTTTTTCACTTTTCTTTTTTCCCTTATTTATTTCTTTTGGACCGAGAGAGTGACTAATGAGGACGTTCTGGAGAGGATTGGGGAACGGAGAGGCCTGACGGAGACGATAGAGAATAGGAGGGGAAAAATGTTTGGACATTTGTTGCGCAACGACGAACTATTGACGGTTGTTGTTGAGGGAAAGATGGAAGGAAGGAGACAGAGAGGAAGACCGAGAATGGCATTCTGTGACCAAATAAAAAGAAAGGTTAATGTGAGCAGTTACAGGGAGGTCAAGGAGTTGGCTATGGACCGTGAGGAGTAGAGGAGGCTACACCGACAAGAGCATGGCTCTTAAATAAAATGAATGAATTTCTTTTTTATACATATATTTTTCTTATTTGTATATCTTATGTGTGTATTCATATATAAGTAAAAACATACTACATAATATATTTACTTATACACTGTTTTCTAACTAATATCTAGTAATTACCTATTTGACAGTTTTAATGTTTTCTTAACTACTTTATGTACATACTCGTTAAATACCTAAAGTGTCTTATGATCTATTTGTTTTATTTCTTTTTCTTACGTCTATTGTTATATATTTTAAAAAGTTTATAAATAAATCTCTGTGTTCACCTTTTAATAATATGGGGAGATTCTCGATACAGAGTTTAAATTCTAGTTGGATTTGGAGCTCTAATCGTTTCCGGTCGTATTTTGAGCAATCTAGCATTAAATGAATAATTGTTTCCTCCGCGGCAGGATCGCAAATGCATGCGGGGCTATCTTTACGTTTAAATCGATGCAAGTAATGTCCAAAACCTCCATGACCTGTCAATGCCTGTACCAACGTTGCTCCAAGTTTTAATTTCTTTAGCATTTGGTATGCATCGTCTGTCTCGGGTAAGAAGAGCTTTGTTACCGTTGCTGTTTCACTACTCGCATATCTTTTGCCCCACTGTTTCTTGGTTTCTTGTCTTATTTGTCTTTTAATAATAGACAATGGGCACCGTTCGTAATCTGGAGCGGATTTTTTGTACAGCGTGGCTTCTTTTGCTAAGCTGTCTGCTCGCTCGTTCCCTTCCACTCCAATGTGTGCTCTCACCCGGAATAGTCTTAGCTCCATGTTCCGATCCCTCAGCTCCGTGATTTTATTTTTGATCTCGTGTGCTAATGGGTTGAATGAGCCGGAGTCGCCGAGAAGCTCCAAGGCTGATCTGGAGTCACTAAAGATGTTCACTACCGTTTCTGTTTCTTTCAATGCTAATTCAGTTGCTTTAAGCAGTGCGAGCATCTCAGCTTGAAAAACCGTGCAGTAAGATTCCAGTCTGAACTTCTTACTGCGCGTCTCCGATCCACTCCGCCAGTGAGATATTGCAGCCCCCACCTTCCCTTCTATTTTACTTCCATCTGTAAAGATACACGAGCCTGTCACCTGGTGGTGTTGGAGGTTTTCCGGTTGCATGTTCTCCAGGCACACAAAACCTACTGCAATTTCCTTAGCTGGGTGTGGAGCCTGTAGATAGCATACTCTTCGCTCCAGTTTTCTGCCCCTTAGGATCTCCTGCGGTTTTCCTCGCTTTGCTTCATATAACTGAGCATTTTCCCGAACTCGCATATCCAGTGGCAGAAGGCCGGAGAGAGTGAGAGCAGCGCTCAGTGAGACCGTCCTGTAGGATTTTATATTTTTTTGTGCAAACCCCCTTTGCACCGTGTTCAGTTGCTGTTGCACCTTCAGTTTTCCAGTTGCTGGGGCCCAAACGCTGGCAGCATATAAAATAATTGGCTCCACCACTGCGACATAAATGGTTCGAATAATAGGAAATGAAACTATTTTTCCGGATTTAAATCGCGTATATTTGTTTTTTCAAACAAACCGACGTTTCGGGCCCTTTACAGGTCCCATGGTCACGGTTGACTACGTTTGTGGCTTTGTTGCAGACATGGCTGACATGTTTATTAAAATTAAATTTTTGATTAAATTTTTATTGAATTGATATTCAATAATTTTTTGTGAAATTACTCCACTAGTTTGTTATAATTATTAATACAAAGATCGAACACTTAGAAAAAAAACTCAGAAAAAATTCCTTCGATCCGGTCGGATTAAATTTTGGTCTAAAATCAGCCCCAGTATTTTAATTTCGTCTCTCGTTTGTATAATGGTCTCTCCCATGCGGATAAGTGGGGTTTCCAGTTTAATTTTATTCGTTATTACCATAGCGTTCGTTTTTTTTTTGTGCCGCAAATTAAATTTATTTCTTGTTCCCCATTCATTCACAAGTCGGAGGGTATTTACACTTACGGTTTTTTCGGAAAAGACCAACACGATATCATCAGCAAACGCCTGACAGTATTGGTATTGGTGCAACGGGCTAGTTTCCGCAACTCGACGTCAAGGCGCCTATTTTGCGTGTGGTGGGTGCAGGGTCCTATTCGTGCCACTCAAGCTCCTCCAGGAATTTCAGCAGCCTCTTCGGTTTTCTGAAGACTTCGGGGAGCGATCTCGGCACTCCAAGGTACTTTGCCCTGTAGTTGGCCACACCGGAGCACTCTAGTAGGATGTGTGCGGCCGTTTCCTCCCCCTCCATGCACGCTCTGCATAGAGGGCTGTCCGTGATAACTAAATTGAAAAGGTGTTTATTGTATGGATCACGGTAGAGCGGCAGATAGAGTGCGCAGCTCTTGTCTTTCAAGTTTGATTAATTTACGAGATAGACTGGCGTTGAGCGTTGGGAGTGCTTCCCTAGCCTGTCTACAAACCGTAAGGGTTGTCCATATGTTATTATGAGAAGATTTTGTACCTTTGAGTATAGTTGTTCTTGACCATTGGTAGGGGAGGGACACTATGGGTTCCGGCCCTACAGCATCCGTCTCCGACCCTTTTCTAGCTAGTTCGTCTGCTGCGTCATTGCCACGTGAGCCGCTGTGTCCTTTAATCCACTGTAGAGTTACGTGGTTATGTGTACATACCTCCATGAGTGCTTGATGGCATTCATATATAAGCCCTGAGTTAATGTCATAGCTGCTCAGCGCTTGAAGTACTGACGTGCTGTCGGAGAGTATTCGAATGGAGTGATTCTTTACACTTCTCGCTATTATTGCTTCTGCTGCCAACTTGATACCCATACATTCAGACTGGAATACTGTGTTGTGGTCACCAAGCGGTGTTCATATTCTGATATTGAGGTCTTCTGAGAATACCCCAGTACCTGTTCCTGAGTTCGTTTTTGATCCGTCAGTGAATACGCGGACCTCTCTGAGGTTTAGTCCTTCGTTGGGATCTTCAAACAATTGTATCCTGTATTTTTTGTCAAAAATGTATTGTTTTGGGATCCTATCCACAGTCGCCTCCAGTAGCAGTTCCTCTTTGCCTATCTTGTAAAGGATATCTGTATGTGGGGTCCTCATGTGCTTCCAAAGGCCGGCTCTTTTTAGTCTCACTGCTGTTGACGCCGCTTCCTGTCTGATAAACAGTGGGAGGGTTCGCAGGTCCAGCATCGCTTCGAGCGCCGCAGTTGGAGTTGTCCTCATGCAGCCGGTCGTCGCCATGCATGCTAGCCTTCGGAATTTGTCCAGCTTGTTAGTTACAGTCGTCAGCTTGGTTCGTGGCCACCAGGCTATCGCAAAAGCGTGTGCATGCGTTTTGTACACGTTGTATCAACTTCTTAGACCTACTAAAAATACAATCACTATACATATACTACATCACAATAGTTTAACCGCGACAATATCAGTGATTCACAAAGGTGTACACGCAAATCAACGCTAAGGTAATCACGAATACCATAAAACAATTTGAGTCGATAAAAACAGTTACCCGTCACATTGAGGATGTGCTCCTCAAAACGAAGTTGACTGTCCATCAGTATTCCGAGGTTTCTGACCCTATCGACCCGTTCCATTGGTTCACCCATAACCGCAATATTTCTGGAAGCAAGGGCTTCCAGTGTATTATGGATTTGACCCTTTGTTCCAAGCACCATGTACTTAGACTTACTCGGATTCAGTACTAGACAGTTCCTATCAGACCACGCCGCTATACGATCTAGATCAGCATTGATGTCATTGACTGAAGCAATGGTATCAGACGGCTTACCCGATATGTATAGTTGCAAATCGTCCGCATACAGGTGGTAGCTACAGTTTCTTATACTAGTAACGATATTTACGACCATGTTCCATAGCAGAGGCGACAGTACTCCTCCTTGAGGGCACCCCTTCGCTACTACGGCCCATGGGGTCTCTTTCGCTGTTGTTTTTATTGTTCTTTGTTTGAGCATGTTGCTAATCCAGCTGATCAGCACTTCATCCACTTCGTGTCTTCTTAGTGCTGATTGTATGCTGGAGAAGTTGGTTTTATCAAAGGCTCCTTCAATATCTATAAAGGTGCCTAGGCAGATTGCCTTGCCTTTAAGGGCCTCTTCTATCTTGCCGACAACGGCTTGTAGGGCCGATTCGGTGGACTTGCCTTGGCAGTATGCATGTTGGTTTCCGTATAATGGAATGTTCTTTAGTGCTCCGTCCCTCAGTTCTCTGTCACATAGCCTCTCTAGCGTCTTCAAAAAGAACGACGTGAGGCTGATCGGCCTAAAGAATTTTGCACCAGTGTAGTCGTTTTTACATGGTTTCGGTATAAAAATAAATTTTACCTCATTCCAGCTATGGGGCACATAGCCAAATGCTAGACAGGCCCGAAAGATGTCGACCAGGTGCTGGGCCAGTGTGTCCCCACCTCATTGTAGGAGTGCGGGAAAAACTCCATCTTGGCCCGGAGCTTTGTATGGTTCGAATGTGTTCACTGCCCATTTTGTTTTTTCGTATGTTACTACTTGTTCAGCGTATCGCCAGTTTCTGGTCGATGTATTGTAGTTCATTTAATCTCGCCTGTCATCTCGGACGAACCTGCATCCTGGGAAATGTGCTTCCAGTAGGGTTCTTTCCGTTTCTTCAGGGGAAGTTGTGAATGTGTTGTTTGTTTTACGTATTGAACCTAGTTCAGTTGCATTTGAGTTCGCTGGGATTTTTCTTACTCTGTTCGCTTGTGCACAAGACGTGATGTTCCCGCAGTAGCCTCGCCATGACGCGGTGCTCCTGAATCATATGCGTTTCTTTAATTTGGATTTGGTCGTCATATAGTTTTCCCAGTCCTCACCCGCGCATGTGTTCGTTGCTCTATTGAAGAGTCTCCTTACCCTTCTTCGCAACCTCTCAAGCTCAGGCCCCCACCATTGGTGGCCTTGTCGCGGGGCTGGGTCACTTAGTGGGCATGAGGAGTTGTAACATTTCAATATGTTTGACTGTAACGTTGTCGTTACACTACTTTATAGGATTAACAAATTAGTAAATCTATCTATTTACATTTATAATCTATTTACAATAATTATCTATTTACACAAACAACCTACTTACTAAATGCTTAATTTACATAAACCTAATTTACATAAACGTGCAAACTTGACAAAATAAATAAAACAATCTCCTTATAATAAACTAAAATTATCTAAGTAAACTAGATGCAAATTGTTTGTTTAAATATTTTTGTCAGGCTTTTTATTAACATAAACGAGTCCGTAAACTAGTCACGGGGACACGAGTTGACCGCTGCAAGAGTGCAAGGTCAGAGCCGGCATTTTGTTCTGTGTGCGGGACCGATTAACATCTCTCAATAAATTCTATAAATTTCTACAAAGGTTTCCCATCTGTGCCAATTAATAGTAAATTGGAAACCAAATTCTTCTATGTAAAGAAAAGTAATTATAATTTAATCAACATACAGTGATTAGTGTAAATTTCTAGAATTACGCTAATTTATAATATTTTAATTACCACGCAATATTTGAAGCTCATGCTATTTTGATACTAGTTATTATCTTGCTTTTAGTGCATTCATTGTAACTAGAAATCCGCATAAATGTTAAATTATTCAGAATTGTGACTGACTTACCCTTATACTAAATTTAATAAAATTAATTGTCCTTTACGCTGTTAATTTCATATTAATCATGCTATTTAGTTTTTAAAATATTAGAAACATTTAGTTACTATCAAAATGTATTCTAGTACCTTCTATTTTCTATCGTTATTAATAGTAATTTTCATTTTCATTCCAATGTATGTTATTAACTAAATAATTAAGTTGATTTTGCGTGAGGCAACAACATCATTGATCGCTATTTCATGCTTTGGTAGCCATTTCAATTAGCAGTGCGTCCATCTTCACTTTTCCGGATATAGCAGGCAGTAACCATAATTCGGACTTTTTCTGAAACTCCCAATTCCGGATATTTCCAGGGTTCTACGTCCAGGCATAACGAACTATACAGCGTGATCTATCCTGGAGCTAAAGTGCACACTGCCAAAAATAAGAAAAGGACTACCGGATCACCAATTGTCGTCCGCATCGAGCTACCGGACGTCAGGGAAGTGGTTTTCCAATACGGAGAAAGTGTAACGGAACTCGTTTAGTGAACGCGAACTCAGTACCCTGAGAGCTAGTAATTTATTATCCATTTCAATAATATATTACTACTATATACTTATATTTATTCTTAATAGACGCATTGTAAATTTTCTACTTCTTTTATTTGCTTAGTATACTTAACATCTACAATAGCAGACGTTCTCTAAAAAAAATACCTATAAAGTGGCGCCCAACAATTGTCTTTTATTCCTAAACGAGTTCATTTGCACTATTTCTTGGCATTTTATAGTTATCGTTGGTGTTGGTTGTTCATCAAAAATTTGTATGTAAGTATTTTAGTTGTAGTCTTAGTCACTATTAGTTGTGTTTGTTTTCATTAGTTGTAAATACTTCTCGTATTAGTGCTGCTTACTGCTTTTACTGTATTCTAGGTCTAAATATATACAAAACCTATTATATATAGTTGGGTATATAATATTGTTGATGAGTTTTGTTACTAATTTGCACCACTCACTACTACGCTGATCAAAATGCCCTATCCGACCAAGTTTCTTTCACTCCAAAAAGCGGAACTCGAATACGAAGTTGCCATTAGGGGAGGTACTACGGAAAACGAATCTGTCCAAGATCTTAGAAAACAAATATTTAAATTAGCTGCAATATTACCTTCGGAAGACATTTTAGAATCACATTTAGAACCAATTGAGGACTTGACACAAGTTAAGGAAACTCAACATAAAATTAAATTAAACTTAGATAGCCTAAAAACAAAATTTGATAAAAATGTTTTTTCTCGCACGGAAACAATTATTCACCCTGGAAAATCCTCACGCCTCTGAGTCCCCTCATGGTTTTAGCCCCGCCAACGTATGGTTCCTGCAGGAGAGCTACTGTAGCTCCGCGCTTTGTGCCTTCTATTAAAACTTGGTTAGGTTAGGTTAGGTTTTTTTTTTTTTTTTTTTTTAAATATTCAATCGTACCTCCGACATTTAACGAGGGAGTCGTTGTTTACCTATTTCTCATCCATACAAGTTCTCGCTATTATTCCTCTCGCACTTTTATTCCTCATACTTTATCTTTCTTTCATTCTTCTCTTGCATTCTTTTACGGGTGGGATTTCCCGTTTTCCTGCCCTGAGTATACATGCATACTCCTATATATCCTAATTATTTATCCTACTCCTAATTTCTTTATTTCCTTTTTATTTTATTTATTTATTTAGGTACAGGATGGGGGGAAATAACTTTGCTGTAGTTGACACTTCTTTTGTTGTTACATCTTATCTTACAATACTATTACATTTAATTGCTTACATCTAGTACATTATTTTCTTAGGGTCTATTGTCTTACTATTTTATTTTATTACAATTTGTCATATGTTACAGTAAATATTATACACAATATCTCTTAACATATTTTACTTATCTATTCTTATTCCTAGTTACAACTCTGTTTACAATCTACACAATATTCCATGAAAATTTCACTATTTTTGCCGGCTATAATTTCATGCAAGTTATTTATTGTCATTTTGGACGCCATCTTGGACTCTATATCGTGTCTTTCGTTATTAAAGACTGGGCATTCCAGTAGCAAATGAGGAACTGTTTCCGGCGTGTCCGGGTCACATAGGCACGCCGGGCTCTCCTTGCACCCGAAGCGATTCAGATACTCAGAGAACCCACCGTGCCCTGTGAGAATTTGTGTGACTATGCCGGTTGGCCCTATCCTCCTAACTATCCTGTAGGCGTCTATCGCGTCAGGTAAAAACAGTTTCGTGATACCCGCTGTCTCACCGCTCTGGTACCTTTCGTTCCACTCATTGAGTGTACTCGCGCGAATAATTCGTTTGACGTACGATATTGGGCACCGGTCGTAGTTCGGTCTGTGCTTGGAGCCCACAGCGGCCTCCTTGGCAAGCTCATCTGCTCTTTCG